TGAAACATCCTCAAGTGAGGGGGTCAAAATTGGCCCCGCCCCAGGGGGTCATTGATTTTCCCAATATGCATATAGTAAAACCTTAAAAAATCTTCTTTTAAAGAACCCAAAGAGGTAGAGCTAAGATATTTAGCATGAAACATCCTCTAATGGGTGTCTACCAAGTTTGTTCAAATAAAAGCCCTGGGGTCAAAATTGGCCCCGCCCCAGGGGGTCATTGATTTTTCCTATATGCATATAGTAAAACCTTAAAAAATCTTCTTTTAAAGAACCCAAAGAGCTAAGATATTTAGCATGAAACATCCTCTAATGGGTGTCTACCAAGTTTGTTCAAATAAAAGCCCTGGGGTCAAATTTGGCCCCGCCCCAAGGGGTCATTGATTTACCCTATATGCATATAGTAAAACCTTAAAAAATCTTCTTTTAAAAAACCCAAAGAGGTAGAGCTTAGATATTTGGTATGAAACATCTTCTAGTCAGTGTCTACCAAGTTTGTTCAAATAAAAGCCCTGGGGTCAAAATTGGCCCCGCCCCAGGGGGTCATTGATTTTCCCTATATGCATATAGTAAAACCTTAAAAAATCTTCTTTTAAAGAACCCAAAGAGCTAGAGCTAAGATATTTAGCATGAAACATCCTCTAATGGGTGTCTACCAAGTTTGTTCAAATAAAAGCCCTGGGGTCAAATTTGGCCCCGCCCCAGGGGGTCATTGATTTACCCTATATACATATAGTAAAACCTTAAAAAATCTTCTTTAAAAAAACTCAAAGAGCTAGAGCTTAGCTATTAAGCATGAAACCTCTTCTAGTGGGTGTCTACCAAGTTTGTTCAAATAAAAGCCCTGGGGTCAAAATTGGCCCCGCCCCAGGGGGTCATTGTTTTTCCTTTTATGTATATAGTTAAAACATAAAAAATCTTCTTTTAAAAATCTTAAAAGCTAGAGCTAAGATATTTAGCATGGAACATCTTCTAATGGGTGTCTACCATTTTTTGTTAAATTAAGGGCCTTGGGGTTAAAAAATTGGCCCGGCCCCGGGATCATTGATTTTCCTTTTATGTATATAGTAAAAACTGAAAAAATGTTCTGTTAAAAAGCCCAAAGAGATAGAGTTTAGATATTAAGCATGAATTATCTTCTAGTGAGTGTTTACCAAGTTTGTTCAAATAAAAGCCCTGGGGACAAAATTGGCCCGCACAGAGGGTGTGGGTCATTGTTTTTCACTATATGTGTTTAGTAAAAACTTAAAGATTTTCTTAGAGCTAGAGCTTAGATATTTATCATGAAACATCTTCAAATGGGGATCTACCAAGTTTGTTCAAATAAAAGCCCCTGGGTTAAAATTAGCCCCGCCCCGGGGGCCTATATACAGGTGAGCGATTTCAGGGCCATCATGGCCCTCTTGTTTCTTTCAAATAAACGTTGTTTTTGTGGTGAGTTATTCACTTATATTTATATTATTTCTTTCATTATTACATTTTTGTTATCTATGTACATATACCATATATTTTATGTTTAAAAGATGTTGTTTATATTATTTGATATAATTTTGTATGAGAAACCTCAATAATAATTGATAAAAAATAGACTGAAACATACATGTATATTTGGATGGACAGAACAATTGTAGTATTAACCGTAGCTTCACAATGCACTACATGTTACAATAGATTTGTCAACCTTCTGGGCTTATTTTCGAAGCTGTAACTATAAGAGTTTGTTTGTACCCCAGGATTAGCTGCAAATAACCCCAAAATATTCTAAAGTCCGGCGTAAATCTATTGAAAAGAGGTTTAATAATTTCTTGTTAATTTTTGGTCTGTTCTAGGAAAGACCGAGCTGACAATAAATTTAATAAGGTAAATTTTATCAAATTTAAATCTTTGCTGCTTTTGATATTCTTTAAATTTAGAATTGTGTACATTCCAAAAAGAATATGGGTAAATGAATCTTTAAGGTTATGTTTGTTCAAGGTAATATTTTTTACATTCTTTTATGAAGATAACATCAGATAGTGTGCATATTTATGTAGAGCTTGGGATGAAAAGTTATATAAATCATTAAAAAAAGTCTGTTTAAATATATTAACTCTTAAATTTAAATGTAACGAAAGTGACTATGAATATGTATTGATAAATCTTACACAACTGACCAACAACCAGCAGAGCCATTTTATCCTCTATCGGTTTTCAATAGGAAAACATTAGGCACATTTGGTTTGTGTCTTCTTTTTTGCAGGAATTTTCAAATAAAAACTGTTTCTGAATAACTACTTTCAAAATGTTGGAAGTTATCCAACTAGCTTACAGAACGTTGGTGGTGCCCATTTAATTTTGTACCGAAAGCCCACCTGAGGCCTTCCTCCACCAGTAAAGCTGGAAAGTCGCTATATGACCTATATTGTGTCTTTGCGACGTAAATTTTTGGTACATAAATCTTTGTCACTTAAATCCCAACCAAAAATAAAAATATGAAATTATTATTAGGTATTACATAGTATTTAGTGATGGAGTATATTGGAATTTCTGTACACCACATTAAACTAAGAGGTCAAGACTCGGGCGATGTCCAATGTTTTGATAATTGTAAGTGTTTGTTTTGATAATTGAATGTGTAAGCTCTCTGTTAATAATATTATATAATTTTCACCTTTTTCTGTAAATGCTACATTTGTGTATTCTTACAGCATTGAATCTTGTTTATTATATACCAATAAAATCAAATATACACGAATGTTGCTGTTATTAAATTTAGGCCAAAGCAAAATTGTAGTTAAATTTCGGTTACTGGAACACCAGTTAACATATTTAATATGTATTTGTCCCAGACTTAAACATTTAGCATAAAAAATCAAGAGCCAGATTACATTTTAAGCTCGGAAAAAAGTAGAGGTATTATATTATAGTCCTGGCGGCGTTGCCGTTGCCGCCTGGATAATAACATTTAACATTTTGGAACTAAAAAATCGAGACCCTATAACATTTTTGTCACTCAAAAAAAAAAAAAAAAACAGGAACTTAGCATGCCTCCAGATTCATGCTTATTTTTATTAAAATATGTTTCAAAGTAAAATATTGTAAAATGAACAAAGAAAGTAATTGACACATGCAAAGGCACGTGCATTACCAAAATGAAGTCATAATGGGTAAAAATAGCCGTGTGTTAGTCACCAGTAGAAATATGGCGATAATAACTATTTAATAATAGTGATGATATTTTGGTTCATCTGGAGGCATGCAGCTTTAACACTAAGCTCGCAAAAATCTTCGAGATTACACTAAAATTAACCTAACCCATGTTTTGGCACAAAAAAACTTCCATGTTATTTAAGTGATGATTTTACCCTTGACCTGGAACAAACGTGATGCTTTAGTTCATGTTGGGCCATTCTTGTTTACATTTAAAATAGCACATGTATTTGGATGGTCTTATGCATTTTTGAGGGTGGTGCGAGGCGAGGTTACATCGAACCAACACTTCCAGCTTTACTAGCGGAGGAATACCTAATGGGCACATCCGTGCATAATTTCAGGGACGAACGGGCACCTAAATGGAACCACCGACGTTCCACATGCTAGCTGGATAGCGTCCTCGCACGAATGATTCCCTAGCAGGATTCGAACCCACAGCGATGATGAGGATGTGAAGTCGACAACTTTAACCACTCGGCATCGGAAGATCCTGCACAAAATGTATATGCTCAAAGTTTGAGCATATAAACTGTAATATATCTAAATGTGGTTTAGTAATCTTTTTTTTTTTATTTTTGCTACAGTCGAATAACTAAACGATCGTTTTAATCAAGAATTTGAACGATGATACGAAATCAGATTGCTTCACAGCTAAAATAAGAGCTTACTTTAAAAAAAAAAATGAACTGAAAAAAAAGAAGAAAAGTTCGAAACGGTACTTAAAGTTCTTTGTTCAAGCAAATTGTTTATGATACAGAAGTATTATTCTTCATGTTTGCGAAGGTATTAGTTCTGTTTGTTTATACCCCGTTAGAAGAATCATTGAAGCTTTTATGAAAGAAAGATTATTTATAAATCTATATCTCTCACATTGTCAAACACTTGGCCTTACTTATCACTTCTCGTCACATACAAGGATTATTTCTAATCTTTCGTATTTCAGAATATTGACGTAATTTATTCATTTGGCGTGCAGCATTTGAAATTTAGACTGATATTTTGTTAAAACTAAACCCCCGAGAGATTTATTTTAGAAATTTTAGGAATTCTCGATTAGTGATATTAAGAGAATGTACATGTATATATGATACGTGTATGACGCAATAAGCATGTTCTTATATAGCAACTTCCATGAAAAAACGTACATGAACGCTGCAAGTACATGTAATAATTTAAGTTATATCTAGATTTTTTTTCCGAGTACACTCTTCTCACTCATCTGAAAGCTTGCAGCTTTAAGTTGCTATCCGTATAATCTCCACTCTGTCAAAGTTACAATACACAGTTTTAAAGGCACATAATGCCTCAGAAATAAATGTTTTTCCATATTTAGAAAGAGCAAACATGAGTTTTATAACGTTTAAATAATGGTTTTAGAGCATGTTAGATACTTATCACCTGAAGAAAGTAGTGCAGAATGTGAAATTATTTGTCACGAAAGTAGCAAAATGTAAACAAAAGCAATATTTTGACTTCCATGCTAAATCACTATAACTGTATTAATTATCAAAATCCAACAAGAGCAAAAGATGGTTCAGGTAATTAGCCGATAAATAACTTTTTGAAAACTTTAACAGGACACCAGAAATAAGAAGCTTTTGAGAAATGAAGATAAAGGCATTTCTGGACATAATATGGGCCTTTAATGATATTTAGTGCCGCGAACTATACATGAGAAGAAAAAAACTAGAGAAAAAATTCGAGAACTTCTTTATCACAGATAAATATATCACAGACATGTTATTAAAAATAAATATGCATAAAATATTATATATAAATATAATATTATTACAGTTAAACCTGTAAATGGAGAAGCCAGTTGAAAACGGACTGCACTAGTTAAAATTTACGTTTTCTTTCAAAATCGGGAGTAGAACAGTTAATAGAATGCATGAAAATGTCACAATTTTTTTTTTTACCTCCCGATGTTCAGTGACATTTAAGCAAAGATATATACGTACACCTTAATATGATTTGTCTTATCCAAGTATGGAAAGCCGTCACAGTCAATATCCGGACACATGTGAATACATGAGAATCCCGTGAATGCTATTCAAAATGTAGTATACACTACAATGTTTGTCAGTTTAAATATTTATTAACACTATTTTCATAGTTCTTTTGCTTTGCATAATCATCATCGTTTGTTATTTATCTGTTGTTGTTTCTATACAACTGCATAGTTAGTGCATATAAAATGGGCATTACTCTTTCCAAACCAAAATATTGACCTAATACGTTGAAATTTGAAAATGCGTTTCATGAATTCTCTAAGCACAAAAATGTAACTTTCAAAGAATACAAAATAAAAAATGCTTCACTATCACACTATGGAACACCATATCCGACTAAATTACATATCACATGCCAACTAATCCGTAATTATATACATTTATCAATCCAGGACTGACACTTTATATCAGTGTCTTCTTTAGATATCTCCAGAGACTGGAGAACGTCGGCCATTGTCTTTGGTGGTCTTGGTTTAAAGGGATCATTGTGGAACCGAATTCGTGGCCTTTTCGGTCTTTCGTTGCGTGAGTTACGTCCCTTAGAACGCGAACTGTGGTCCATGCGGGGCGTTATCCGGGGACTTATTGAACGGGGGCTTTTGGAAGGACGTCTTGAACTGTCTACAATGTTAACTATGTGAGTATCTCTAGTGTCTTTTACTTCGTCTGGTAAAGTAACAGAAGATTCGGATGTACCTGGGATCTCCTCTTCACTAGATCCTAATAATGTTCGTGGGGATTTCTTATTTGGGTGCAAAATTCTATCAATTCTTTCCAACATCATAAATGTTTTTTCGCGCTCAATATTTTCTATATCAAAAGTTTCATGCTTAATATTTTTATGATATTTTTCAATTTCTGGCAATGGCTCCAATGGTTTGATAATACGGATCGTTCCGTTTCTTGAACGGAAGTTCGTTACAGTACGCTGATGACGTTGTCGCTCGTGAGCCGCCACGCGACTCATCGGCATCGACTTTCGTGGTACTGGTTTCATTACGATTTTCCTACTATCTCTATACTGAAATGGCATTTCCCTTGGCCTCATATCTTCCGCAGTAAGTTTCGTCTGGTCATCGAGAGGTGAATAACTGGTTCCCCATGGATTAAAATTAGGATCTACTTTTGGTTCCCGCGGTGTTAATTCATGTGGAGAATCCAAGACAGACGGTCTATGGTGAATAATCCTTGAAATATGTGACGGCAGGCTCATTTGACTGTTCGTTGCCCCCGTGTAACCAGTCACAGTACTTGCAGCTCCTGACATCATCGAAATACTCTGACGTGGTGTTGACGTCATATTGAACATTGAGCGACGTGCTTCCGTATCCGGATCACTTAAAACGGAAGTAGTTATTTTAGGCAGGACCGACATTTTGCGGGGCACTGCCGGGAATGTCGGCACGTTTGCTTTCCATTGGGCTTCAGCGATGTTGTCCAACTTTTTATAGTAGTCAGTCCCTCGTTTTACATCAGCGAGTCTTTTATTTCTAGCTCCTTCATTTTGATAAAACAGTGGGGATTCGTGCCCCGTGGGACTTTCGGCTAACATCATGAAAACCTCCTGCCGACAAAAGTTTTATTCCGAAAGTTTTTCTTATATCACATGATTTCCATCTGAAATAGAAACACGAAATAACATTTAAAGTAAAACTTATTTTATTTTTACTTTGCAATAATATTGTAAGTTAACTTATACTAGAAATTATACCACTACATACAAAGTCAGCATGTCTTTATTTTGATGAAAGTTTATCCATGAATTACAAAAAACTGATACCTTACGAAAATATTTATCCGCCATATTTGTCGAAAATTTTAATTTGTATAAAACGGTTGGCCTTCGGTCGTATAAGAGCGCTGCATATCAACAATTTAACACTTGAACTTGCAAGACAAAATATTCTTTTGTCCTTAAAACTGGCAAGGTTTATTTTGAATATAATCATCTACTGTTTTTATCCGATTGAACATTGTGTGAACAGAACAGTTGAATCAAAGGTATCGTTAATAAGCCATCAGCGCCCAGTATTGAAAACTATCATAGTGGTTCGAGTATTAAATATAGATCATTTTATTGTTTAAATCTGGATAATTACAAAACCGCATTGACACATTCGATTTATGAGTAATTTGAGATAGATGGGTTTTTTATATAATAAGTTATCAATGTTTTTAAAGCGATTTAAATGTTTTAAGTAATTTTAAATCATTATATGTTATTTTTTACCTTCCGAAAATGTACGGCAAATTAAACTAAAAATTCAAACCATTTAAAACCATTTTGTTTAAAAATTATTGACATCTTATCATTCAATAGCCATTGGATATAGCATCAACAACTTCGGTATTTTCACGCTGAATGAAATTATAGTGCGTACTTACTAAGGCGTATTAATGATACTTAAAAGGAATATGCGATAGATACGGTGGCGTATACATGACATTACGCACTGACAAAATGGCGCGTGCCATAACTACCAACAAAATAGCGACCATTTCTCGTGCCTCTATCAGCACAATAACACCCTAGATCGTTCTTTGGTTCATTTGTATCATGTTTGTTGACGATGGCATAATTCAGATATAATTCAACAAAATGGCCCGACCCAGCTACCATAGGTACATCGAAGTAAAAATCATACCTAGTACGTTGTATATCAAAATATTTTATGGTTTTACATTATGTTTATCTCCTAATGTTTACTTTAATAGAATAAACCAGCCATTAATGTTCGAGATGCTACCGTTAAAATACGAGGCTTTATATGTCCTCAAAATAAAATAAAAAATGCGAAACCAATATATAGTATCAAATTGATCACTTTTAAAAAAATCTTTGATTTATTCACGCAATAAAACATATTATTCAATAAACCGTACAAGTACTGTGATCAGTGATCGTTTACTGTCTTTTTTCTAAAAGTAAAATATTTAATGCGAGAAATTAGAAAACTATTTATTATAATATATAAGCGATTAAGTTTAATGGAGCAATCATAAAATACTAAATCACATTTTACAAACCCAAACCATGTAACTGAGCTGAAAATTTTATCAAATGAAATGTACATGTTGAAACATAAAAGCTCTTACATACTGTAATATTATTAAAATACTATAAAAAATACCTTGGATAATAATCAAGGAATTAAATAGAATATCCAATCAATTTGAAAATTAGTTAGCAAAATATTTTCATTTTAAGTACACAAATGCCGTTAAGTCAATTTGTTTGATCAATAAAATTTATTAAAAACAAAAATCGAATTACAAAACTTTGACCCTAAACTAATAATGGACTACAAGAAGCTGGGGTATAGCTACGAATCGACTTGAAAATGCTTCATATATTTGAACTGTTTATGTGTTAAACCATTAACTTGCAATGTACAAATCATACTGATACAAAAATTAACACAATATTTTAAGAAAATGGAATTACTATTTGCCAATACCCACAAACTCATCTAATGAAAGTTTCTCATCGCCAAGAATAACCAAATTCATTTGCTTGACATACAATATAGACCCATTATAGATCAATCTGAGTGCACAATAACAAAAAATGCAATGACAAAAAAAAATACTCACACACTTTGTTAAGTGAAATCTCCAGTGACCGTTAAACAGTATTCAAAACATCACTATATTGAAAGTCCAACTTTCGCATACTACCTGTTCGATAGATTTTCTTCTCTTTTTTAAAACCTCGATAAAAACGCCGCCAATATAATGCTATCTTAATATTGGTGTTACATTTAAACCAGTTGGCTACCAAATTCAAACTTAGTTTGTTGACATTTTATGAAAACAACGGGGGTTAGTTTAGACAATCGAGTACTAGTATGTCAATATCTTGACTTTAAAGGCACATTATGTCGCAGAAACGATTTTTTTTCTTCCTTTTTTTCTGAATAGCCAAAAATGAGTTTTACTTGCATAACGTTTGAAAAATTATTTTAGAGCATCTTACATGCTTATTAGCTGTAGACAGTAGCGATGAATGTGATATTATTTGTCATAATAGTAGCAAAATGTAAACAAAGCAGTATTTTGTCTTCTATACAAAATACTTAATCACTATATCTGTACTAATTGGCAAAAGGCAACAGATGCAAAAGATGATTCTGGTAAACGTTTTGGAAACTCAAACAGGACAAGAAAAATAAGAAGCTTTTTAAGAAAAAAACAAACATAATGGGCCTTTAAACAATCTTCAGCGTTGCATAAATGGATATGGCATGACAAGTGTGGCTATATGTATACATTATAATACAATATGATAATACACAGTCATGATCTTGTTCTTTGGTTATATTAATCATAATCTGAGATATTAATCAACTGTTTTAACTTTGCAATTAAGCATGTATTTAAATATATTAAAACAAACTTGATTACAGATTGGACTTTCATCACATTGTGTGTTCACAGAACTGAAGAAAATAAAAATACTTATGTGCTCACATAAAGTCTGAAAAACATTATTTGTTAGTTCTATTGGCTTACCATAACATTGATTTGAGTTAGGCAAAGCAAAGTTTTTGTTGTTGTTTTCCCCCACTTCCTATGCCATGTATGCGCTCTACCAACTTCAACTCTCTTAATTAAAACAGTCAATCCGCGGCGAAATTCAGAATAAACCTTTTCAACTTTTTACTTACATCTATATAGTCAAGAAGAAGTAAGGAATTTTTGCTGACCTCTCTGCACTTGAATCAATGTTTCTTAGAATTGAAATAATGTGCGTCTAAATAAAAGTCAATTTAAACCCCTGTTAGCAAACGGTTCAATCGCGCTAGATAGGTGCATTTTACTAAAGAAATTATATTTGGAAGTATTAAACATGAGGGGGAGGGATATAAATGTATTCATATATTGTCCATGATAAATATAAATAGATATAGACACAATTGAGGCATCATTAAAAATTATCTTTATTCCCCCACCGCGATCCATGCCACTTTGGGTTGATGGTTAGGGAATATTACATGAATGTACTATTCTGGTGGTTTGCATCGCTGAAGTTGATTGTGTAAATTTTTGGAGTAGCAGTGTGTAGGTAGTGGGAGTGGGACAAAAACAGAATTTTACTTTAGGCATTGATTTAACTATTTTTCGAAGCCATTTGGCCGGTTTTAAAATAACATTTCGGACGAGAAACAAACTTGTAGAAAATTGTCACTCGCAGATTCTTATCTGTACATATACTGTTCCTGAAAGTTTGGATAAATTCATATTTAATGCATTTGTTAAATAGTGCCGTAGGTGCCGCTTCAATTTAATGATGTCATATTCTCCATGGGAAATTATTCCATTTATTAGTTGTCAGTGATAGTCTGAATTCATTAATTTAATCTTCAATTTTATTTCTAAAACAATAGACCCATCTTAAAACTACCTTCTTTAGGAAATAGCTTTACCAGTCACTCTCTTGTTTCGCACTTATTTCAAATATGTATGTATAACACCCATTAATGATAGCATAACATATTAATAATTGCATAGTACTAGATACGAAGGATTTGGAAACATTTAGTTTTACTGCAGTGTGCAAATAATTTCAAGAAAATCAAACATGAAAAGAAAAATGTTTTACATTAGATTCCAGATTCAAGTAATAATTTACACGATTTTACCGAATCACCATATTTGTGTTACGTGGCTAACGCAGTAAGGGCAAATTCTGCATATTTTGACCTGTTCTTGGTAATTTGTGTATATATTGTAAGCGACAGAAAGTTCCATTATTAACGCCGTATGAATACAAAGTTCTGTAGACCATATTTCATAAAAGGTTACTGTCCTAGGTCAATAACTTTAATAATTTTGATAGAATTATGACCCTTTTTTAAACAAAGTAAAATCTACATCATCCAGGTATTTTTTTAGCTCACCTGTCACAAAGCGACGTGGTGAGCTTTTGTGATCGCTTTTTGTCCGGCCGTCCGTAAACTTTAAAGGACATCTCATAAACCACAAAGCCAATTTCATCCACACTTCACAGGAATGTTCCTTTGGTAGTAAACTTTAAAAATTGTTCAAAGAATTTAATTCCAAGCAGAACTCTGGTTGCCATGGCAACCAAAAGAAAAAAAACTTAAAATATCTTCTTTTAGAAAACGGAAAGAGCTAGAGCTTAAATATTTGACATGATACATCATCTAGTCAGTGTCTACCAAGTTTGTTCAAATCTTGGGTCAAAATTGGCCCCACCCCGGGGGTCATTGTTTTTCCTTATTTGTATATAGTAAAAACTTAAAAAATCTTCTTTTAAAAAAACCAAATAGCTAGAGCTAAGATATTAAGCATGAAACATCCTCTAGTGGGTGTCTACCAAGTTTGTTTAAATATGGGTCCTTGGGTTAAAATTGGCCCCGCCCCGGGGGACATTGATTTTCCTTATATGTGTAAAGTAAAAACTTGAAAAATCTTCTTATAAAAAACCCAAAGAGCTAGAGTTTAGATATTAAGCATGAAATATCTTCTAGTGAGTGTCTTTCAAGTTTGTTCAAATAAAAGCCCTGGTGTCAATATTGGCCACTCCGAAGGGTGTCATTGTTTTTCCCTATATGTATATAGTAAAAACTTATAAAAAAAACCCAAAGAGCCAGAGCTTAGATATTTATCATGAAACATCTTCTAATGGGTGTCTACCAAGTTTGTTTAAATGAAAGCCCCTGATTTAAAATTTGCCTTGACCCAGGGACCTATATACAGGTGAGCGATTTCAGGGCCATCATGGCCCTCTTGTTTACTAGTAGTCGTGCAGTGCACACTGCTTTACTGACAACTTGTTCTGACATGCTTGACCATTGTGTGAAACATATTTTTATATGAGGCATTACTGCCGCATACCATTTTCTTTAGACATTCAGAAGAGCAGTGTCGATGTCGAAACTGTTTGCATATTGGAGTTGATCCCCTTTAATATCTATGCAATTTTTGGTCTTGGGCATAAGAAAGTATTGGAAGTTCTAATTTAAAAGTCCATACATGGAATTACATAGAGAGGTAAAGTGTTTTTTTTCCAAAGGAAGATCTAGCTACTTTGATAGCTGCAATATTAAGAATTTTCATCTATATATTTTAAGTTAAGCTGCGTTAAAAATGTTTAGAGTGACTTGAAATTGACATAAACTTTCTTATTACAAGGCCCTTAACCACGACAAGGGGCATTACATGTATTTTCAAATCATTATTTTTGGAGTTCTGGCTTATTTTAATTTTGAATATTTTTAAAAAAAACTGGTAATTGATGGAATGTTTTGAAAACTTTCCAATAAATTGTACTATTTCTTGTCAGAACAAAGCTCATTGATTATATCGTCTCTTCATCATCTGGAAAATTTTACTATTTTTGTGTTCATATCAATATCTTTAACATTCACAATACATGATTAAGTAGTAGAAGTGAAGTGTTTAACAGACAGTTTGTGTTATTTGTTGCCCTTAATAAATGAGTTTTAACATCAATGCTCGTGTTTCATACTTGTGTATAGTCCTGGCATTAACGCAAAAGTATTTGAAGTATTATCTTGACGCTTTAAGACGGATAGATGTCATTTTGAGAAATGCATTTTTAAAGGACCATAACTCTTTGGCACAATTTTAGAGTCATTGCCCTTTGTAATGTTTTATTCCTGATTTTTGTCGGGAGCCTAATTCCAAATGTAATGGAGTCAACTTAAAAATAAACATCATTTAGGAGAACTTAAATGTGCCTATATCTATTATTAATACCACTGAAACATAAACCAATAACATGACATGCTGAATAAGTATGTACACCTTAATCTCAAGTGTTTGAATCAGTTATTCTACCTAACCACATACCCGTGCTGCTTTTGCTACTCCGTAAAAATGGTATTACATGGCCGTGCATATATTTTGACGTGTTTTCATGTGCGTAATACAAACATAGTGTATATAAATGTTACACTATTATAATGAATAAAATGATCTTTTTTTCACTTAAAACAATTATTATTTTTGGTATGTTTATATTATTAGTTATAAAGATTGTTGACAGGTTATATGGCCCTATATAAACGGCTGTTTGTAAATATAACCTGAGCCGCTAGGCTGACCAGATTCTTCATGAATCGACAACAGCCTTGTATATAAAACTATATAAACGTAACGATTATCCAATGAAAAGCGACGTTACAAACGTGCAGTATTTTAAAGAATATAATATCCGTTACTGAATAAATAAAACTCCTTGGATGAAATAATATGCTCGCCAGAGGCTCGCATAATATAATTTTATTAAACTCGTTCAATAAATTTAGTATTGAACTTACACACAATATCATCTGTATATTTGATAGCGGAAATTGTGATTTTGATTGGGAAGGACTGGTGGCATGCGCAGTGCATCGTTACGTTTAAGACGTCATAAGTATTATGACGTCATTAACGTCGTTACCAAAGCTTAAAGGGACAGACAAAATCACAGCTCATCGTTTTCAATATAGTCTATAAAAGGTAAAGATTAGAAAATGTTCTCATGTTTTAAGAAAATATTTTGCTGTATACTGGATAACCAGGTTGAACGTCGGGCTCCGTACATTGCCAAGAGTTTGACGTCCGTAACCAATAATCTGGACGATACAATATTCTTCTGCGTACCACGAGGAGAATTCAGCGTCTTTCTCGAGAAGGACCTCAACTCCTGGAAACTTGATATATCTGGCTTAATGTGCCTGTACAAGTATGCAACTGACGATCCAGTTCTGAAGCCTGGACCCGAGTACAAATATGCTAGGTACGAATTCAGAGCTGGCGACGAATGTATCAAAGTTAAAGGATGGATACCAGTTGACCAGATAGTGCCACCTTTTTAGTTTAATCCAAGTCAAGAAGAAAATGTAGTTTCCGTTGATGTAAAAGGCAATAGATATACCTCAGAAGATATGGTAGTGGTCGATGTGAATCATCTTTTAGAATAAAGGCTTCCTCCTCCAAGGCTGCAGCAAGAAGTGGAATTTCATCATAAAGCCGCCACATGCCAAAAATCAAAAGTAATTGATTAATTTATCCAGTCATCTCTCTGCCTATTTAAAGATCATCACGGTATCCAATTATTTTTATTTTAAGACTTTTCTTACGATAGATATAAAAATAATTTGGAGAAAGACATTTAAAAGGGCAAATATTGGCGGACCTTTCCTAACTAAGGGACACTTGATATTGATAAAACCATAATCTATGCACGAGTCTTGGATCATAAGGACGATTTTTCTTAAGGCAACAATTTGAAAGCCAGTCTTTGGACTAAATCAAAACATTTATCAAAAAAGTTTAAAAAGGAAGTTATGACTTCTTCCATGAAGATTCCGCAACGATGAACAACGAAATAAAAAAAGCGGGATCATAGTTGGATGCGACGGACTAACCAGACTCGTCACCGTTGTCCTACTACACAAGAAACTACTAAACTTTCATTAAATGTGAAAAGGCAACATGGTCGGAACAGAGAAATTGTTGGCACGGATAGGATTCCTACAAATGAAAGCTAGCTCCTTCAAAGATAAATTAAATCAACCACCGCAGCGGAATTTTTCTGGCTAGTACGTTCAAACAGAAATAAAAGAAAACAAGGCGGGGAAAAAACATCATTCGTGTTTTAAATATGTAATGGTGTTTAAGTAATATATTATGCTAAGGTCGCGTTGACTCTATGTGAAGATTACGTTAAGACATGGAGGAAGACCAGAAGCTGAAATGACAAGTACGATGACATCATTCATTTGTGATTTTTTCCGAAAAGAATCTATACATGTATTTACTTCAAAAGAAGAAATGATAGTGCAGACAGAAAAGAAGACTCTATATAAGACTGAATCATTCACCTGTGGTGGATATGATTATCTTGCCTACTGTTATACGTTTATTGAAACTGTACGGAAATACCCGAAGTTTAACGTTCGCGTACTCTTGTTGGCTGAAATGCAGCAAGTTTGTTAATAATCAAATAGCAAGCAATTATACATTATTTATATAAATATATATGTATGTACCTTACCTTGATCTTGCTCATGTTATTATGCTAATAAAATTATTATCCTTTGAGAAGTATTTCAGTTGCTGTATATAATTATACTCATAAATTTCACTTTTGAATTATTATAATAACTTACGTGTTAGGTATTATTTTCTATTTTATTTGTTTGGGTCGTCAGACCAAACAAATAATGGTAGCAAAATTTCAGACCATGTTGTGTTTATCTGCAAAAACCGAAAGTAGTCCAAACTCCTCTAAGCGGTTACTTCCCTTTATAAGTACACTAACGCCGAAAAAAATAAGGGGAGATCACTGCGTAAAGATTTCAAATGACAGGCGCATTAATTTTCAAGCCTTCTCGGGGAAGAAAAAATCTCGATTGGTTGAAGAATTGTAATTTAATGCCGGAAGTTTATTCCAATATATCGAGTCAAGGTCCACCTAAATGAATTAAATTTATGGAAATAAAAGTAAACAGTACATTATTGAACAATTATTACTACGTTTGTTGTAAACAAAAGATCTACCTGTGTTTGTAATTATACATCATTTGGGCATTTTTAAAATGATTATGATTGTCAGACATATTTTCAATCATAATTTTACCGACTGTATTTTCCTTTGGATGTCAAATATATACATTCATTATACATTATCTCTGTTGTTTATTTATTTTTATTTTTTTAGTCTAAAATCAAGAGGTAGACCTATACCTTCAATTCGTATTAATTAAGTTCGAGGTTATCATGAATAATAGCCGAAATGTTCCGATTGATTGAACATTAGCACGTGCAAAACACCATCAGATGTGACGTCATATTTGACGTCATCGCTGAAAGAAAAAGTGGGTGTTTTTAGTCTCCGGACAGCTTTATTCTGATATTAAATCTTAGCGTAACTGCTTTAAACAGTTACACACAGTAACTGTTAAACAAAAAAAAAATGTATGCAGAAAACTTTCGTAACTGCTAATCGGCCCTAAATAAATGAAGTCCCTCGTGTTAAATAACTCGGGGCAATTACTCATGTAGATCTACAGAACAAAAAAAATCATCAGAAATCAACAATTTATAGTTTTCTGAAAAATATCTTAAACTTAATAGATGTTTTGGAGAATTTTCACAAGGATATTTTATAAATTCTTATTTAAAATAGATCTGTATGTCTGTACTGTGATCAGCGGCGAATATCAATGAAGGCATTTTTTCGAAAAGCATGGTTCATCACATCAATATCGTTTTATGTTTCTGATATGTTAGGCATATCACTCGTATAGAAAAATCATATCTTTAGTTTGACACACGACCATTTCTCATAATAATTTAGTATATAATTTAATGGGGACAGAAATCAATAGCTAAGTCTGACCATATAATCGCAGGGGACCAGTCAGCGGAAGGTGGCGCTGTTAATCAAAATGGCTGTCTGCGATCACTTCGTGCGTTTGTAAGAAGACTAATTCGAGTTTAAGGAGCTTGAATGGTAATAAGTGCTGAAATTTTCATGACGCTAAACTGAACAAATTTATGACTTTTGAATAAACTTAGGTGTTTACGATTAGATAATTATGTGCATTTTAAATTAGGAAAAGTATAGATTAGTCACATATTTTCGCGATAATTTAAACAAAAAATTTAATGCAATCTCTCAGAGTGCTTTAAAGAACATTCTGAATTTTAATAATTTGATGGAGATTTGTATGATCCCAGAAAAGGTCAATGACAACATTGAAAAATCATTGACTGTCATAATAGCAGGCAGAGTTGTGAATTCTGCTAGGAGTTAGATTAGTCCTATAAATATGACGTCGCTTTGAGATATTTTTGCTTCTGGGCAAAGCAACGTCATATCGAAATTGCTCAAAAACCCATAGCATGTTCCGCCAGAAAATCGGGCGGAACGAAAAACAATGAAGACAGCGTGTATTTACATATTTTTTGACCTAGCTATGAACAAAACTAAAAAATAAATACCTTTTGTCAAAATAATTAAACTGTCACATCCGAAAAATCATGATTAAATCCTCTCATGTATTTCAATTCCTTTTACAGCCGATAAACAAATGGCGGCCGTAAAGTGCGCGAAATCTGATTGGCTAATTCAAATGCAAGCGTTTAACTGAGTCAGAACAATCTAACGGAATATTTTTTTAACGAAATAATTGCCCATGCACCGTCCGTGTGTTTGAATATATTTTTCCGTTCAAAAATTTGGAATCAATCTGTAAAGCACCTTGTTTAACCAGTATGGCTGATAGAAAAAAACAGATTGATGTTTATAATTTATTTTAAATTGATAAGTACATCGTTTGACAGTTTTTGTGTATGATTGAGCATGAAATTGAAAGAAAATATGATAATCTTTTGAATAAAGCTTGCAAGGCAGGACAATAGACATTTTTGGAATTTTTTATGATGCTATGCGTTTTTGAGCAATAACTATTAGACGTCAGGCTTGACCGACAAAAACTATAACAAGCCTGTAACGTCTAATATATTGGACTAGGAGTTAGATATACAAATATTTACTTCCAGCTTAAAAACTAGCTTGTTAACTGTGAAAATTTATATGTTCACCATAATAACCATATATATAACTCATTATTAGTTGCAATGAAATTACATAAACTTTACAAGACAATTGACTGTTTTTTTAGGAAAAAAATGTATGTCAACAAAGACAAAAAAATCCATTCTTCCCATATATTTATATGCAAGGGGATGTAATTTGGCAGAATTCTACACAGAATAAGAAGGGGTTGCCTTTCATGTCTTGCCAACATGGCTGGCTGAAATGTTTGAGAGTTTGTTAATGGGGATATAACAATATAGCGTAGTATTTAAATAGCCAAATAAGATACCTTTTTTGCAGGAGAACATGACCATAGACAATTTGCTGTGTTAAATTGTATACTACAAGGACATTATCTCAGGCATTATGGCGGACGGTCAAGTCATAGCTGGTGGCGTAAGCCAGCTTCCTGGTACAAATGGTGGAGTTATTGCCCCTGAAGGTTATGATCCTAACCCTCAACCAGAGGAAGAGGACGTTCCAATGTTAGATATTAATATAAACAATGTTGTATGCAGCTTTAATACCAAGTGTCATCTGAATTTGAAAAGAATTGCCATGGAGGGTACAAATGTAGAATATCACAGACAACATGGGGTATTTATACTATTGTATTATATCTGAACTTTTGGTCAAGGACCTGTAATCCCTCAAGATAAAAAAAAATGTGCAAATGAGTCAAGTTCTGATAGTTATTTGCTTAATTAATTATGTACATAAAACTAGTAGTCTAAGAACTAAATATTAAAATGTACATTAGTAACATTTATAAATTTTATGTCTACTGACACTTATTTAAGCAAGATTTTATTTTGACTTCTTTTAGTTTGTTATCCAGTTTATTTGTGAATGTGATTACTAAAACACTTATCATTGGACTTTTTTAATTCCTTTTCAGATGTTAAATATGAGATTAAGAAATCCTTACACTACAGCCAGTGTGTGGTCTTCTGGTAAGATCACATGCACAGGGGCCCTGAGGTAAACATATTTAAAGTCATATTAAGTGTCATTTAAGGCAAGCTGCGTTTTACTGAGATTCTGAGGGAACTGATGATTTTTAGGGAAAATGACCAAGTTATGTTAATTGTTGTAGTTTTCAAGAATGAAACAAATAACTCATCAACAATGTATAGATTTTCAAGTACTGAATGATACTGTATTATGTTATTGTATGTTGAATTACATTGTATATAAAGTGAAGTAAGAAAAGGGAACTTATGCATGCCTAAGTTTGTATAGGAATGAACAGCGATTTTTCCCCTGAATTGTCAATGGGTCCGGTACCATAAAAATTTTGAAAAAAAGCGTTGATTCTTAACAAATTGTGAATTTTTTAATTAAGATTGTTAATATCTTATTAAGCAGTAAGAACATATAATGTTTTTAACCTAATAGTTCCTGTTACGAGACATTTTGAATGATGTTTACAGAAATTACCAGACGCTTGTTTCAGTATTGATTCGTCCCTAGAAGTTTCGTATTCAAACGGTACGAAAATTTAAAGGGCGAATGCACTGAAAATCATAGTTGGCTAAAGGCATTTTAAGATAAACGAAGCACAATAGGCAAAATTTTAGCATCATTATGAGAAGAGAGCAAATAATACATTATTAAAGGCTTAATTAATCAGATTTGTGAAATTTCATCAGAAATTGTGAACAGCTCCGTTGGACCGAGTCTGAAAATTGTGAAGGTCCGTTTGTGATTGTGAATGGGTCCGTTATTCGGTACCACTTATATAGGGAAAAAAATCGCTGATGCCGTATAATGCCAAACTTGCGTCTCAGTTTCCTTTTCCATTATAACTCATGTGATAATATTTTATGTTTGATTTTAAACAATGCTGTAAATATTACAGAAAAAACAACATCACAGGTATTGCTATACTGCTATACTGATGATTTAAAAAGAAGAAAACGAGTCTTTAAACATGTTTTGTAAAGAAAAGAAATTAGTTGGATTTTTTTCGTCTTATTGTTAGGACAGGTAGACAAATCTGAAACCATTTCTTCAACAGTTAATTGAATTTATTTACTTACAGCATTTAACATTTTCCTATTTTTCACATTTTCCTGTTTATGCTTGTTAACTACTGGTCCATGGTCCATGAATGTTGTTTAAATGAATTGTATGTATACAATAACATAGCATTTTACAATAGTTTTACTCAAAATTTTAATATTTTTCCTCTATCTTCAGTGAAGAGTTTTCCAAAATAGCTGCAAGGAAGTTTGCAAGAAAAATACAGAAAATGGGATATAAAGTAAAGTTCACCAATTTCCGTATAGTGAACGTCCTTGGAACATGTTCACTGCCATTTGCCCTTGATATTACTAAATTTTCCATGGAACACAAGGAAGCCAGGTAGGACTTTGACAGTCATACATATATTAAATTGATTTGGAAAAAAATTGTCTGAAATACTTTTGAAATTCATAATAAGTTTATTGTGATCCAAATACAGAAAAACTTTGTAAACTTCCTTCTGCTCCTTATTAAGGAAGTGGGTATTAAAGCATTAAAAATTTGAAAGAAGATGATATATACCTTTTGGTGACGCTGTCGGTTAATATGAGAAGGGGCACATGTGGCTGAGTGGTTAAGGTTGTTGACTTCAAACCACTTGCCCCTCATCGCTGTGAGTTCGAATTCCTACAGGAACTTTGGATTCTTTCATGTGAGGAAGCTATCCAGCTAGCTTACGGAACGTCGGTGGTTCTACTCAGGTGCCCGTTCGTGCCTGAAATAATGCACAGAAGGGCACTTGAGGTCTTCCTCCACCAGTAAAGCTGGAATGTCGCCAAATGACCTATACTGTGTCGGTGTGACGTAAAACCCAATCAAACAAACAAATTACTATGAAAAATTGATTGGATGTAGTATTTCTCACGAAGGCGCAATCTGCGCAACACAAAAGTTCATCACTCTACATAGAAATGTAATAGTAATTTAGCATGTTAGATGCTTCACTTGATATATTTAAGAATTTTTAAATTTTAGATTTAGCATTTTGACTTTGGTAGAGTTTCTTAGTCTTCTTTTAATTTTAAATGTTTGATTGACTTAATTAAATTCAAATAAAGTTGATCTTAATGTTATGTTATTTATAGAATCAAAATCAACTGAAATAAGTGAACAGACTGTTATTAACTTTACTTTTTAGTTATGAACCTGAGCTGCATCCAGGTGTTACTTACAGAATAAAAAGTCCCAAGGCTACACTGAAAATATTCTCCACGGGCAGTATAACTGTCACAGGTAGTATTGTTGTCCAGTTTCAGTATTTTACTGGTTATCATTTTATCTATAATTGTTTTATTTTAGCAACATTTTGTTCTTTTTGTACACCAAAATTTTGTTTGCATTTATTTTTGGACACTGGTTGTCTGTCCACACTACTGAAGTTGTAGATAGGGGCCATTTAACTATAAACAGAACTATAGAGAACAACAGAGTTCTTTTCCATAACAAAAAAAAACAAAAGAAATTAGTAAAAGAAATGGCCCCTTATCCTATTTTTGTTTCACGTCTGAGAGAAAAATGAAACTACTGGGCAGAAATGTTTACCATAATGAGAGGATGTGCAGACAGATCCAAGGTCAAGTCATGCATAAATTACAAAATTCCTTGTCTCTTCTGTATCTTTTGAACAGATGGAAAGAAATTAAAATTATTTTGGCAGAAATATTACTTATAATAAGATGATGTGCATAATTCAGGTTTTGGCTTCCTGAGATTAAGATTGGCTTGCCTCAGGGGTCAATTGATTTATAAGTAAGACGTTACATTGATAAAGTACATTTAAGTAGTTTTGTTGTTTGAAGCTACATTACCTAGAGTGGCAATATTTGTCATGTAGCAATGCCTTGTGTACCTAAATAAAACTGATATTAATCATTAATATTGGTGCTGCACAAGGGGTCACTTTGAAATTACAGACCTATATAGAAAAACACATTTAAGTCTTATTGTGTGAAACTACAATGCTCCAAGCTCAGATATTTGTGTATGGGATTAACAAATATACAATCCATTTGGATTTTGAGGCATTTGGAGCTCCACAACCCAACTGTTTGTCATCAGAATCACTTTAAGTAATAATTGACCAGTTTTGAATTTAAAGAAGTATATTATAAAATATCAACAGAGTAAAGTGACTGAAATTTCTGGGTTTCATTTTCTTTTAACATAGGTTTTACTATTTCAGCCCCACGGGTAGCAAATGTACAGTCAGCAATAGAATATATATATCCATTAGTGGCAGACTTTAATGCTGGACCTAGATCTGTAAAAACTTCTTCTAGTGTGAACAATGTGATGAACAAAAGACTACAGGCTGAACGCAAAGTCGTGGATGATGAATCGGATTTTGACGGAAGTAGTATGGAAGACAGTGATGGAGATTTTGACAGTGATGTTAGTCAGGATTAAAAGCGCGAAGTTAGTCAAAATTTAAACATCTGTGGTGTTTCGAATAATTGTGTTTCTTATCGTTGGAGTCTTTGTTGTTACAAAATATTTGTACCGAGCGTCATCGAAGTAATAGAATTTTCACATTGATTAATTTATGAAATATCTTGTTCATAATTATGCTTTGTTATCGGAAACTTTGGGACCGATGTTTTGGTGTGATGTTGTTGAGAAAATGTACGTGTTCTGTGTAAGTATGAGTGGATGTGTTACGATATTGTCACGGTTATTTCCTGCATTGAATTTTTGTAGTTGAACATTTGTTACTTATGTACTCTGTGGCTTTTTACATGCATATGTAGTTATTGATAGAATGATTTGTTGAATATATGTGTACTGTGAATGGATTATCATTTATATGCTCTGTTATTTCTTGTATATACGATGGAAAATCTTGAAAAATGTTTTTTATAGGGTAAGAAATATTTAGTATGAATATAGTTACAGGCATTTTTTAGCTCGACTATTCGAAGAATATGAGAGCTATTCTAGTCGCCCCGGCGTCAGCGTCCGCGTCGGCGTCTGCGTTGGTTAAAGTTTTTTGTAAAGTCAAATATCTCAATTACTGCTTGAGATATTCAATTGAAACTTACAATACTTATTTATAGTAACAATGTACATCAGATTGACAAGTTGGATAACTCTGCCTACAATATTGACAGAATTATGCCCCTTTTTAACTAAGAAATTTTGGTTAAAGTTTTTTGTAAAGTCAAATATCTCAGTTATTACTTGAGGTATTCAATTGAAACTTACAATACTTATTTATAGTAACAAGGTACATCAGATTGACAAGTTGGATAACTCTGCCTACAATATTGACAGAATTATGCCCATTTTTAACTTAGAAATTTTGGTTAAAGTTTTTTGTAAAGTCAAATATCTCAATTATTGCTTGAGATATTCAATTGAAACATACAATACTTATTTATAGTAACAAGGTACATCAGATTGACAAGTTGGATAGCTCTGCCTACAATATTGACAGAATTATACCCCTTTGGAACTTAGAAATTTGGGTTAAAGTTTTTTTTGTAAAGTCAAATATCTTAATTATTGCTTGAGATATTCAATTGAAATTTAAAATACTCTTTTATAGTAACAATGTATATCAGTTTGCAAAATTGCATAACTCTGCCTGCAATATTTGCAGAATTATTTGCCCCTTTGAAACTTAGAAATTTTGGTTAAAGGTTAAAGGTCTTCAAAGATATTTACTTGAAACTTTACACATGCACTTAGGGTCATAATTGGAGGGTCATAATTGTATGTCACTGACCAAGTTCCATAACTCTATCTTGCATTAAGGCTGATTCATATCCCCTTTTCTACTTAGTCTCTTGGTTAATGTTAACATGATATTGATAGTTTTACATATCTCAATAACTATTAAAGATATTTATTTAAAACTTCACATATGCATTAAGGGTCATAATTGTAGGTCACTGACAATGATCCATAATTCTATCATGCATTTAGGCTGATTTTTCTCCCCTTTTTCAACTTAAAAATTCATGGTAAAGTTTTGCTTGTAAGCTGTTATCTCAACTACTGAAGGGTTTGTACCTTTTTTGGGACAATTTTATGCATTCATAATAATAAAGCAGTGATTAACTTGATAAAACATCTTAATAACAAGCCTTTGTACCTTTTCTGTCAAATTTATGTATTCAAAGGTAATTAGTATTATTTTACTCAATTAAACACCCTTGTGACATTACCTTCCGAATAGTCAAGCCAATACTGTAAAATTAGACTCTCTCTAAGGCCTATAACATGAATTTATGAAAAAAATTAGCTCTTTTGTGAACTTAAAAAATTTAACATTATAAAGGCTCTTTTACTATCAAGCACTTAGAATAGTCGAGCGTGCTGTCCTACCGACAGCTCTTGTTATACTTAATAAAGTTAACACACTTCTTTTATGCTATTCCTGTCAAAGGAGACTTACCTGTCTTGACATAAATTATATTTTGGGTTATTCTTATGTAGTATTGATTGAAAAAATGCAGTTAGAACATGCTTCCAGATTCACGTTTTAAATGTATGTCGTTTAAACAATTAAAACATATCATTTTTAGCTCAAGTATAAATATTGTGGTTTTTGCAAGTGCGAGTTATTTGGTATTCATATAAGTCACTTAATAATTTAGAAATTACTGTGTTTCGAAGTAGGAAAAAAGGAAATGCAGTCAAATACAATTGGCATAGTATCCTAAAATGCTGTTGATGATAATACTTACAAAATATTGTTTTCCATTCGCTTATTTTGGGACATATAGACTTAAAGAGTTGAACCTTAAATATTTTAATTAAAAGGTAAGAATTGTCTCTATACAAGAATGAATTTATTGGAATTTCACCTTGTAAACAACCTCACCTGGTTTTATTTAAAGAGCCACTTGAGAAAACAATTTGGATAAAACTTTTAAGAAAAGTTGAAGTATGAAATAACAATTTGGACACGGTGAAGTGCTAGTATTTCTACATATTTTATTTTTGCAAGGTATATTTGTAAATATTTTGTGTATTTGGATATTGATGAACATTGATGAGATCAAGTCATTTTACTTTAAGATCCTTGAAGTTACATGTTATATTAAAGGATCTCCACTGAGGTTCCAAAGACATAAAAAAATGATAATCTTACAAAATATGAAGTGAAGCACTTAAAATGGAAAATCTGCGAAGGTTGACAAATAAATATACTCAGAATTAAATTGAAAATTGATTTTTATTCGTTTCTTTGCCAGGTTTAGTTCAAATGCTTCTCATTTTTTGATCATTTTTCATATAAATAAAATAAAAGAGAGTATTCTGGAAAAACAGGGTGAGGGAATTAGCTGAAAATTTGCACACAAGTAATTGGATAAGACCTAAATAAATAGGTACACAAATCTGTTTAAAACTATTTTCCATCCTGTCATGTCAAAATATCTCAGTGGAGTCCCTTTAATGGGCGATATTCATGTTTTTTTAATAGTGCTTATACTGTACAGGGCTTTATATACATGTAAAAGTGCTTACTCTTTATGATGAATAATTTGTTGTTTGTTTTTGCTTGATTTTTTTGTTGTCATGTGTATTGTAAGACACAGTTGTACATACATTTATATTGATAAAATGCATTTACTTCCTAAATATGTTAAGTCATTGAGTGATTTAGATTGTTTTTTCTCTACCTGCACATCTCTGCTGGTATTCCTACAATTTGTTCTATTCTAATAAGGGATTACAGACCCTTTTTCTCACCCTTTTGATACTTCTTCTGTCCATCATTACATATGTCTTGAAATGTTTACTGAAATAATCTGTTCACATCCAGAGTATGTTCAATGCTGTTTACTTTTACTAATTCATGCCCCATTTTTATGCCCCCACAATGTGGGAGCATATAGCGTTGCACTTGTCCGTCCGTCCGGAAATCTTGTGAACGCAACTCCTCTTAAACCGGATGGCAGATTTTGCTTAAACTTACAGGGATGAACAACCTTAATGTGTAGATGGTAATAAAGGAAGGAATTTTCGCTGCGACCAAATTTAACAGAATTATGGCCCTTTGTTGATTTTTTCACTAGATACTATGTAGAAATTTTGTGAACGCAACTCCTCTTAAACCGGATGGCAGATTTTGCTTAAACTTACAGGGATGAACAACCTTAATGTGTAGATGGTAGTAAAGGAAGGAATTTTTGCTGCAACCAAATTTAACAGAATTATGGCCCTTTGTTGATTTTTTCACTATATACTATGTAGAAATTTTGTGAACGCAACTCCTCTTAAACCGGATGGCAGATTTTGCTTAAACTTACAGGGATGAACAACCTTAAGGTGTAGATGGTAGTAAAGGAAGGAATTTTCGCTGCGACCAAATTTTACAGAATTATGGCCCTTTGTTGATTTTTTCACTATATACTATGTAGAAATTTTGTGAATGCAACTCCTCTGAAACCGGATGGCAGATTTTGCTTAAACTTCCAGGGATGAACAACCTTAATGTGTAGATGGTAGTAAAGGAAGGAATTTTTGCTGCGACCAAATTTAACAGAATTATGGCCCTTTGTTGATTTTTTCACTATATACTATGTAGAAATTTTGTGAACGCAACTCCTCTTAAACCAGATGGCAGATTTTGCTTAAACTTCCAGGGATTAACAACCTTAATGTGTAGATGGCAGTAAAGGAAGGAATTTTTGCTGCGACCAAATTTAACAGAATTATGGCCCTTTGTTGATTTTTAGTTTTCAACTTGCGGCACATGTAGTCCAAAAAATATTTGACCTAGAGTCATAAGATTGACAGAACAGTGGTGTGTGGGGGCATCCGTGTCCTATGGACACATTTCTAGTTTGTTTCTAGCCCGAACTAATCAAATGTATATTACTTTCAATGACAACATTTTTTATATCGTCACTCAAAGACATTTTCCCCCCTTTCATGTACAGTCAAAAAACTGTGATAAATATGTATATATACAAAACATGATGTGAGTGTAAGTTTTGGAATATCATTTCATCCTATTTTTGTTCATCAAGGGCATTATTTTTTGTAATACATTTTTCTACACTTAAACATACTGAATAATAGTAACATTTTCCGATATTATTTCACCCGTACCCTGCTGTTCAAAACAGAAAATGAAAAGTTTTTACCAGTGGTGCTGTCTGACCAGGCTCTATACTGTTAGCTGACCAACTTCAAATTTTCATCTTGATATCCCCCCAAAAAATGATAATGGACAGTTCTAATAATAGAAGAAATTTAGCAGGTTTCAGGTTAATGTAAAATCAAATTTATCAGTATATAATTAAACTCGACACCGTCGCAGATATTTCTTAACACCCTATGAATGCTATTCCTGTGCCACGAGCGTACAAACAATTTAAATTGTTACTGGCGATGAAGGCTTTGCAGTTTTTTTTTTCCGCAAAGCAAGGGTTAAGTGTCATAATCATGATTTTTGTAAGTTTAGACTTTCCCATGCCATTAGCATACAAACAAAACTGTTACTGGCGATGAAGGCTCGGCAGATGTGTTTTTAGCATGGCAAGGGTTAAGGGTCAGATTCTTGATTTTTGTAAGTCTTTTTTGTAATTTTTAGATAATTTCTTTGTTATTTGAATGAATCTGACACATCAAATTAATAAGTGTTTTCTGCTACATTGCAGTAAATTGTGTAAATGAATTAAAACAATGATGTTTAAGATGTTGTCAGTTTAAAAAGATACTGATTTAGCAATAAAATGGTTATATTTATAAGAAAAGATTCACCAATACTTAATTAGTTATTATGTGATAATGTTTTAAAGTGAATGAATTACCTTCCCTTCATACAGTAAATTTACCTGTTTTGGCTTAATTGAATGCTAGTTCAATGCAGCCTATTTGTTCTTTAATATAGAACTTTATCGATGGAGTTTTGAAATGTTCTTTACTTTGAGCTTTAGAGGA